GTTGCGCGAGCTTTAAGGGTAAATTACGCTTCGGGCTTCCGAAAATCTCCGAGCTTTCGTTGGTATTAACGTGTCGTGCTCGCAAGAGGCTAAACGAACGCCACCGCCTTGGAAGAATGCCGCGGTCATCCTCGCGAGATCTTCGTGCTTTAGTCTCAGAAAGTCAGCTGCCATCGGTGAAATTTCGATCATATTTAGCTGCTAATGAAAAGCTCCGTTGCGTATTGGGTTTGAGTAAGGAGCTTTACCAATTCCACCAAATGAAATTAAGAAATAATTATTATTAATTCCAAGTGACTTTAACATTTAAATTTCGATTAAAACAAACCTACCGAAGCATTGAAAATCTTATAATGTAAACGATTATAATAACCTCATCCTCCTCGATTACTTTAATTTATTAATCATTTACAGTTGAGAAATGGCATTTTTAGCAATGTAGTAAAAAAGTTTTAGTACATAAGATCATTCGCGAAGACCTTTTTTAAACTCTATTATTAGCCACATTAGAGATAAAACTTTTTAAAAAAGATTTAACAGATTTGCTGCACACGAATTCCTTCAACAAAATGCATATTACGAAGTACTTGATGTGCTTGATTTTACATAATTTATAGAAGATTTAAAAGTATTGAATATGGAAATTTATAAAAATAATAGCCTAATTTTCTATTGTTAATTAAGAATCATGTACATGAATTTTTCGATATCTTATCGTTGGAATTAAATTATCCTGTGCCTCCTCGTCTTCCTCAAATTAACGTTCAGTGTACTATACGTTTAAACGCTTCCCTTCGAGTTCGCTAAACCTTTCTCGGATTTTCCTCTATCTCTATCTCATTCGAATTCTTCTTGTTACTTTACTTCCCAGATCGCTCGCTTCCCCCCTTCCCCCTTCGCCACCACCAGCTCGCTCGCTTACGCGCGCGCGCGCGCACGCACACACACTCCCTCTCTCTCTCTCTCTCTCTTTCACTCTTTCACTCTCTCTCTCTCTCTCTCTCTCTCTCGCTCTCTCTCTATTCTCCCCTTCTCTTTTTCATGTTGCTTTTGGCTTTTCTTCTCACTCTTTTTTTTATCGCTCAACGCACTCGACGTCAGTGACACGATGTAGCATCGAATGTGCACATGGGTCACCCTCGCGGCTTCTTCCTCCCTCTTTTTCCGGTTTTACATCCTCTCTCCTTTACTCTCATTCTCTCTTCTATCGAATGCGCGCGCGCGCGCGCGCGCACACACACACACACACACACACACACACACACACACACACATATATATATCCCCTCATCATCCTGCCTGTGGATACTTTTGATTTTCTTTTCTTCTGTTCGATATTCCTTTTTACTCTGTTGCTCAGTTAAATGCACTTTTCTTTAAACTGTCCCCTGAATAAAATTCATACCGGATTTTCCATTCTAAGCTAATTTTAAAACGTTTTTTTTTTATAATCAATATAAATTTTTATTTGCTTCCATTTCCACAGTTTAGTTTTCATTCTATTTATAGCAATCAAAACAGAATATAATATATTAGAGTTTACTTTTGACACTTCGTTATATAAAAATTCCTTATTAACTTTTAACCTTTCCATCATTTTAATGAACAAATTTATTTTCATTATATCTCTATTAATAAGCATAAATTATGTTGATTATATATCATTAATATTGCGTGTCATAAAGTTAAAAATTTTATAGTAATATATAAATATCATTGGATTGTTATATGTATTTATTTTAATTGCTTATGTGAAAAGTAAGTTTTATTTTTATCATTAAAATATTTCTAAAAATATAAAAGCAAAATGACTGATCAATAAAAAGACAGAAATATATCAGTAGTCAAACTTTTATGGACTCTTCGTTGATTCGCATAAGTACGTTAAAACATAGTAAAATATCTATTAGTTACGTCCTTTGATTA